CTAGATATGGTCTCAACAAACCCATGGCACTTCAACAATATTAATTTACCTTTTATCTGGAAATAGTGTGTTTATTCTTGTCATACAGTGTCTGTGTTAATTATTGCATGAAAGGTCTTGCCATACCAGTTTATTCCTCTGTATTTACTTTAGTTTTAGTTTATTCTTGCATTTTGTTCTTCATTCATTTTCATTTAGTTTCATTTGATTAGTATTATCTTCGCTTGGTTTATTGCTATGTCCACTTTAGTTTCTTTCCTGTTGCTAGATTTATTTTATCGTTTATTGACCTCCAGTAATCTTCACTCATCACCTGCTGCACCGCCTAATCGTCATGTTTCACGTCGTGTGTTGATTTTTCACTGTTCAGCGTCGGATTCTCTGTTTTTATGCCGTAATTCACATTTCGTTCGTCGCTCCGTTTTATGTCCCGCTTCTCCTGTTTCAGAGGTTTTTTTTACCCCCAAAGGAGCGCAGCGGTCGGGAAACGTATCGATGGGGAAAAGGCAGACTGACATAAACCTTTTAAAACAACGGAAACAATTTCGGTATTCTGATTATTGAAATTTAAAAGTGCTGTGTTTTTCCACCAGACCACTTACAGCACGAGTGTTAACGCTATAAAATGAACGCTCTCTATCGTGGTATCACCATGGAGGGATTTCTTTATTTAAATGGGTTCATTTTTCAGAGGGATACAAAGTGAGGGTATCGTGATTTTAGCTACCAGTAGCAGGAGCGGAGCTTCGCCAAGAAGCTAACAGAAGCTAACAAACACTTAATAGAAGAAGAAGAAGAGCTGCCATGTATATTGTTGCAGCCAAGCATGGATTAATATTACACAATATAGTTTTACCAAGTTGCTCAAAGTCTAAACTGGCATTGTTGTGCATTTAAGGTGTAAAGTTTACCTTCAACCAAACGCCCCCCAAAGGCATCCCAGCGCCCCCCTTTTGTAAAAATGTCCGCCAGCGCCCCCTGCCGTCCTCTGAACGCCCCCTGGGGGGCGGTACCGCCCACGTTGAGAACCGCTATTCTAATGCAAACACGGTCGGTCCTACTTTGAAAGCGTTCCGTTCCGTTCCTTGCAGTGCGAAAACGGCTTAAGTGGTCTCTATTACAGATCTGTATTATTGCTATATTCTATTTTTAAATGTCATGTTTTCATTAGCTGTAAGCATAAAATTATCAATTAGAAATTTCAAACATCCGCTTTTGTGTAATTCATCTATATAATTTTTTTCTCTTAGTGATAAAGTTTCTGAAATAAACTGACTTTCAATAAATTGACTTGTAATTCTAATAAATTCAAATAAATTAGAATTTATTAGAGTTGATTTATTAAATCAATCAACTCAATCAAACAACTTTAGTTTCATAGCACATTTCAAAAATCACCAGGGTAGCCAAAGTACTTTACATTCAAACAGAAATACATATGAAGCGTACACAAATAAACATATACGTAAATGGGCCTACAGGTTGATATATACATTGTATATCAAGCAACAGTAAGCAAATGCTCACCTCAAGCTGTCTGATATTGGTTTCTCTCTCCTTGATGAGCTCCAGATCTTCCTCTGTAATGGCCATTTCTTCTGTCTGGGTGGTTATTGGACCAAGGTCCTCTTGGCTTTTCAAACACAGATGTTAGAGGTGAAATAACAACTAAAATCTAATTTCCTAATGATAAACAAGTTATTGCTCTTTGTGAAAAATAACATGAAAATATATGTTTATGAAAACTCATTTCATTGTTTAATCTACAGTTAATCCTAAAATATGCTAGCAGAAACTTTATTTCTTATAGGAAATAAAACCGTCTTCTCCTGAAAGATAATAAAAATGTGAAATATGTGTCAATTCTGAAAGAAAATCTTATTTACATTTAAAACAGAAATTAATGATGTACTATTAATGATGAATAGATTAATTTCACATGAATCTTTTCATTTATATGTAATAAATTACTTTAGTATAATCTAGATTCATTTTCTATTTAAATTGACACTAAATTTCAATAAATCCTGCAAAATGCAAAATATTATTTATACTTCCAGAGTAAACCTATAAGAATGATTTACTTACTTATCAAAGGAGACAAGCTTTTCATCCCGAAAACGGTCTTCATTCTGAAAGAAAATGGTTAAAACAGCTTTATCTAAATAGTAACATAGTCAGAGTCCAATGCCACTTAAGCAACAGTAGCAATATTGTGGCAACAAGGTGCAGCAAAAAAGAGAATAGTTAGCTAGTTAAATGACTCCATAATTATATAGATTCTTTAAATGTACAGATGATTAGGACTTATGTGTAGGTACATTATTAAACACATTCTGAATGCAAACTTAATTAAAACCAGAAATGCACATCATATTGAATCATAATTGTTATCACAATATCATTGTGTGAAGTTGTAATCACTGATTGAATGCAGCGTTTGGTAGGAGACTGTATTTCAATGTTGTGCATTCACGCTGTGCATTTCAATAACATTTGACCAGCTGGTTGCACTCCAACTGCCCTTATTGCTCACCACAGATGTAATAGGCGAAATACTACAACCCACAGAGAATGGTGGGGACACTGTTTAATTAATAAAAGGGAACAAGAATCAGAAACTATTTGAAGTAAAAACAAGCAATGCCTAGCTTGGCAGGAGGGGACAAGTAAAACCTGGCACCCTGCTAGAGGAAATCCTGCAAACTACAAAATACATAAAGTATACTGGCACTTTATTACTATTGGTTACAGTGCTCATTTAAAATTACTTGTTATAATTTTATGTTGTAGAGTTTAATTCCTATTTAACAATCTGGAATTTGTGAAGTCACCTCTATAGCTTACTTACTGATAGACAGGAACCAGCCCTTGCTCTTGCTATTGATTCCCTCTCTTTTTCTGCTGCACGTCGCTGGACAGCTTGGAAGTTGTTGAGCGCTGCGGAAAAGTCATTCATAAGCCGGTCCCTTTGGATCCTTTGTTGCCTCTGGGTGGCATAAGTAAATGTAGTTAGAAACAATGGGTTAAAAGAAATCACAATGTTTTGTCTGTACAAGAGGTTTTATATGAATCCCACATAAACAAACAGGACAAACATTTTCAGTTTAGGTTTCAACTATGAAACAACTTTTTTTTTACATTACAATTTTCAGCTCAGCTTACTTAATGCAAGAAGTTCTTTGTAATGTTTTCAGATTTTTTTTTTCCACAATTTTTCTGCACAGTTGTTTCTGTAAACTATGCCCGCCACTTGGTTATGTCGTTCCATGTACGCTTTCCCTGCCAGCATCTTGCACCCTGCTGTTATGTGCTGGACTGTCTCCGGGGCCTCCTTGCACAACCTACACCTTGGGTCTTGTCTGGTGTGGTAGATCTGAGCCTCTATTGCTCTGGTGTTTAGGGCCTGTTCCTGTGCAGCCAGGATGAGGGCCTCTGTGCTGTCTTTGAGTCCAGCTTTTTCCAGCCATTGATAGGATTTCCTGATATCAGCCACGTCAGTTATTTGTTGGTGGTACATCCCATGTAGGGGCTTGTCCTCCCATGATGGTACCTCCAGCACCTCGAATGCTGACCTCGTGTTCCATGTAGTGACTTTGGCTCTTGAGTATGCAGCCACAGTGGACAGCAGCAGCAGCCACCACCCCAATACTGAACTTACTGAACTGCTGATAAAAGCGGCCACCGTTTTAAAGATGTCCTGAAGACAGTAACAAGCCAGATTGGCCAACATTTGCATGCAGCAAGAACAGATAAAAATTTTGAAGATGATGATAATAATGATGGTGATGGAGTAAAAGTAAAAGAAGAAGAGTACATGGAGAAAGTCACTGCTCACAGCCAGTGCAAACAGGGCCACAATCAGGGTCATTATCCTCACTTCTCCCTTCTCACACCTCCACTTACTAGGGGGCACGACCCCATCACAGTCAAACTGTACCAACACTGTCACTGTCCACCAATGACCTCAATCTACCTCAAGGGTCTTTTCGAAGTCTCGAAGAAGTTGGACAAGTCGACCCTCATACTGTCCCAGGTAATCATACTGCTGCTGCCTCTTCAGTGGTTTCAAGTTGGAGCAGGCCACGTCCTCCTTGGCATCACGAGATGTATAAGCGCTCAACATCTGCCCTTTGGTGTAACAGGCCATATACGTATAATCAGAAATTTTCTGGTCTTATAGTCCATATCCTTGATGTTCTGCTTGGTCCACAAGAGTACACCAAAGTCATAGATAACCACTGGCACTGCTAAACTGTTGATTGTAGCAATCTTGTTCTTAGAGTTCAGTTCTGATGTGCTGGTAGTATTCCTTCTTGGTTTTGGCTTTTATGAACTCATCTTGTATTATTATGACTATTATTATTATTACCACAACCATAGTATCAGCCCAGAAGTCTCAGTACTGGAGACTCTGAGATTTATTCCAACTTGTCTTCTGGCACCGTTTCATATTGATTAGGTTAAGGAGGTAAACAAAACAATATGAAAAATATAAGAGTCAGATATTCGACTTCTTGTTCTCAGAGGGTAGGTCTTAGGTGATATTAGCATTTTCCAACTGAGTTTTGTTGGGAAGAAAAAATTAAATCAGCTTTAAAGGCGAGTTTGATGCATTAACAAATGCACATCGACACTCACTTGTTCTGAGGGTGATGATGCCAAAGGGACTGAGCCCAACTCTTTAAGATGCCTGTTGGTTTCTTTAGCAAGCTGGTTGGTATAGTGCTGTATTTGCTGCCTGTAAAAAGAGGAACAGTTTCAGTAAACAGAGCTTTAGACTTCACTTCTTAATACACAATTAAGATTAGCTTTTCAATGCAAATGGATTGCTCAGTGCTGGTCAAATTAAAGAAACAATGCAGAGTGAGGAGAAGGCTGCCTAAAACCTGTCATGCTGGCTTCTTTAAGGGGTCAAGCACAGAGCACCAGGTGGTGCATCAAACGGAAGGGGGCCATGGGCGGACCACGCAACAGACCGATTTGGACATAGGACCATTGCCCTCCCGCAAAAGAAGGGGGTGCTATTTCCTATATAATCCACAGTCTCCTGTGTTTATTTTCTTTTGAAATCTCTTGATAAATTCTCCTTTATGAAGGAGGTCCACTCTCAGAATGTATTTGAACTTCTCTCCTTTATTTATTTCAGCACAGCTCACAGTTCTCAAATTCTGTAGTTTTCTGTGTACTTCTAAATCTGCTCCTTATTTGCATTTTTTGTGGTCTGCTACTGCCTCTGGTGGTGTGGGAGTCATAACACGACTAACAAATACATAATTAAATAAAGATACATCGATCCATCCATCCATCCATCCATTTTCTTTACACCCTTGTCCCTTAGTGGGGTCCGGAGGGGTGCTGGTGCCTATCTCCAGCTAATGTTTCGGGCGAGAGGCGGGGTACAGCTTGGACAGGTCGCCAGTCTGTCACATAAATAAAGATATATTGGGGAATTAAAAGTGGTTAACCATGGAATATGTGAATAAAATAATTAACACACATAGTAGCAATGAATAACAAAAGTATTTTTCTCAGTAAACAACCTGTTGAGACCCATAGAAGTCAAACTAAGATTTAAATGTTTAGATATGAGTTTGATTCAGAGTCACTGATCTAATCTCTGAAACACCTTTACAAAAACTTAAGGCTCTGACTAAAAACAAGTTTTAATAAGTAACTCCACTGAATAAAATTCCTCATAAATATTGATTTATTGCAGTGGTTCTCAATACAAGTCATGTTATTTAAATTATAACTTAAGTTGCTTTAAACTTATATTTTTGATGGGGTTTTTTCATGTCATGGATGGCTGAGAACCTATAAATGTGTAGGAATTGAATATCGGGTTAGTATCATAGCTTAAACTTAAAGGTCAGCACCAGAGTTTTCTAGAAAAATATTCAGATTTTAATTTGTGGTTTTAAATGCTCTACGTTGAAGATAAGAAATAAAGTACATACATATATACACTGCTCAAAAAATAAAGGGAACACTCAAATAACACATCCTAGATCTGAATGAATGAAATATTCTCATTGAATACTTTGTTCTGTACAAAGTTGAATGTGCAAAATCACACAAAAATCATCAATGGAAATCAAATTTATTAACCAATGGAGGCCTGGATTTGGAGCCACACACATAATTAAAGTGAAATGTTCCCTTTACTTTTTTTGAGCAGTATATTTTTTTACGGTCAGCTGCAATAGCTGCTGCTCAGTATGGCTTAGCCGTACTGAGCCGAGAGCTCAGTATGGGAGCTCTCGGCTCCCGTACCGAGCTGTCGGCTACAGGTAACGCTCAGTCGCTCTCTCCCGCTCCCCAACCCCTGGTCCACGGACCGGCACCAGTCCATGGACCAATTGGTACCAGGCCGCGCAAGAAATAATTAAATATTTCCGTTTTATGTATTATTTGAGTCTGGAGGATCTTTTATTTTGAAAATCCTTTAACCGGATTCTCTCAGTTACTTGCATGCCAACACTGAGCCCACAAGCAGCAAAATGAGTAAGAAACAGATCAGGTATCTTTGGAAAGTTTCTTTGCAAAGGGGAAAAGGCCCAGAGAAGAGACAGGAGGATGGATTTATCCCGGACCGGTAGGTGAGTCCCACATTACAAGCTGCTCTGTGTAACATGCGGCGACCGGCTGCTAATGAGGCAATGAAGCTTCAAACTGCTTCGCCACGTAGAGACCCAGCAGGCTGTGGATATAAGCAACACTTCGGGTGTCGTTGTCTCTCATCACTCCCAGATGGGACCGTCTCGTTGCAGAGAAACAAGCTCAGGGCTCCGTTAGTCATTATCGTGAGTTAACATTTTCACGAAAGTGAAATGCTCGTTTTTGTGGCGCATCTGTATCTTATTTTGAAGGGATATGTAAACGTTACCATAGCGACCAGAGTCAGAGAGCGTTTTGGTAGTGGTCGAGAGGATATGAGTAGAGCTTGTGAGTCTTAAGTCTGGTTTAGACGGAAAGATTTATGAACTGTCGGCCAATTCTCCAAACCTCTGTGACCACAGAGCTGATAAAAGTACAACAGGTTCGTGTCTCCAAGGCAGGAGCAACACGAACCGATTCCAGAGGATAATCCAGTTAAACCCCCAACATAGCGGGAATTTATAATAACCAAACACGGATGACGATGTAGAAGCAATAGTGATAGTTTGTGGACTCATTTTAAGAGATAAAAGACGTAATAAAAAGAAAAGGCAGTGGATAAAAGACAACGGGAGCAGCCGCTCTGTTTGCTGCACTATGATTTGGAGGTGAATATGTTTTTTCATAATTAACATTTTTAACTGAATAAACATAATAATGACCTTTACATATAGTAATAAACATTTCCACATATCATCTCCAATATCCACCGGACTCTCAGTTGCGTGATATGTCAGCTGTTTAGGATTCCCCTCTGTTCTGACGTCACCGCGCTTTCTGATTGGCTACCTGTCACCTTCAGTAGCTTGTATTCTCGTTCCCAGTCAGGGAAAACCCCACAGGCTGCGATAAAAAGGCCAAGACAACCCAAATTGGGTATATTCAGGATTTAGCGGGAACACCAACATGCAGAACCTTATCTGACGGTTCACGACCCCCCTCCCCCACCCCCGGAC